CTGAACTCCAGTAAGATAGTCTAGATCCCAGTTTTTAACTTTATCTCTTTGACTAGAGCCATTTTATGAAAAAAAAAAAAAAAAGACTATTTGAATGCCCTTTAAATTTCCTTCCCCAAGATCAGTCTTCATTCATGGAGATGCCTCAGCTTGAAAGTCTAGAGAAGAAGATTGCAGGTCCTGAGGCATGGCAGCTTCCTACTCTGTTTTGCTCCTGGCGGGTATGTATAATGGAACTGAAGTGACAAGAAGCTGCATTACTCCCTGCGATTTCTTATTGCCCATGCTTTGGTGTGGGCAGTGTTTATGCCTCCAGTAATGGTCAGGGTTCAGAAAGTTCAATGGTCAAATCTGGGAAGGTCTTCCAAATTCTAGCATCCTTATTTGAACTCTTTCAAATCAGTTCAGTCAGAAAAAGGGAGCAGAAACTTTGGTGCATTTCTTATTTCAGTTTTCTGGTTTCCTTTCAACCAGAAGATTCCGTGAAAACAAAATATAAAAGACAGAAAAGAAAATTTTTAGAAGATGATCAATTTCCTTCTGGGGTTAGTTCAAAAGCTTCAGAATGGGTTGGTCCTTCTTAATTTTTGTTTTAATGATGTAATAAATGCCAATTAAAGAAAAATCACCATGTTATAATTAACAGTTCCATGATAACCACTGCCTTGGCCAACACTGGAAACCAAAACAAGGATTTGCAGAGCAGAAAGAATGAGCTGTTCTTGTATTGAAACTAAGAGAAAGCTGATTTGGAATCTAGGAGTCAAATGTGGCACTTGTACTTGCTAGCTAATCCTTTGTGTATTCTCTACCTTTGTACCAATGTTAAACATCTATCCTAAATGCTCAGTAAGTGCTGAAGGATGGCTCTGAAGATTGTGGGGCACAACTATGGTCTTCCTCTGGCTTCCAATAAGAGTTGAACTAAAACCAGCCTCTTCTGGAAGCCATAGAGCATTCTATGTTGGGTCCATCCCAATACTTAGGTCTCTAGGCTTCTCAATGGGGACAGTTCATTCTGTTTCTATAGGGAACCCTCATAGCTTATTTCTGTCAAAAATAGGTCATAAGGACAAAGTGCAATGATTGTTTCCACTTCCCTTTAGAAAGTGTCTTCCATCTTTTGCTCTCAAGGAAAATCACTGGAGCAGAGCAGGGATGTTGAAGTTTTTCATATTCCATTCACTCCTTAAGAGTTCTGTGGTTAATTTAGTAGAGCATTCTTATCTCCAAACCTAGCAATATATGTTCTTAGCATAATGAATCATCTGAGTGGCATCAACAAAGAGATTTAAATAGATAGACAGAAAGATTAAAATCTCTTTGTTCTGCCTGGTAAGCGGTGCCTTGCTCATCATATTTCTAGTTGACTGTAATTCAGTTTTGTGATTAAATATGCCGTGTGTTTTCCAGTGATCTCTGTGTTCATTGTAGATACTTCAAAGTTGACTGGAATTTGAGGAGGGTCTTTAGGAATGTCCTCAATCAGTGAAAACCATAAGACTGTCATCTATTAGCATCAAATCCCAGCCTTGGCTTGTCCCTGTCCCTCTACAGAAAATGAGAATTATGTCAAAGCTGGGTATTTCTTTGTAACATGAGTCCCTTGGTAATATAGGTGAGTCCATAACTATTTGATATTTCCACAGGTTGGCTATTCGTCCACTTCACAGAATCATAAAATGCTTAAGGTTGGAAGGGACCTCTAGAGGTCATCCAGTCCAACCCGCCTGCACACACAGGGCCACCTAGAGCACGTGGCACAGGACTGCGTCCAAGTGGGTTTGGAAGATGCCTCTGGCTAACCAGGGAGGTAATTCAAGCCAAAAACTCTCTGCCTCAATGATTACATTTGCTCGGACTAACAACACTGTGCTGGAAGACAAAAGGTTGGGGCTTCTTCTACATTATGGAAACTTTAGAGGAACTAATGAAAGTATAACAGCAAAAGGACTCTTTACCACCTACCACACAGATTATGCATGCCCGCTACAGGGGGAGCGGATCTTGCTGCCTACAAATCTGTGCAGTGCCACTTATACCTGAATGATTCATTCCCATCATCTGTATTTGTGCCAGAATATAGACAGATAACTCATGCAGGTGCATTCTTAGATGGAGAGACCAACATACAAAGGCAGGTGGGGAGACCTGCTTTTGCCATTCTGCCTTCCGGAGATCTTGGCATACACTTTCCTTTGCCTGTGTGCTATTTTATTGACTATACAACGGGAAAAATATGGAGAGAGAATAAAAAAGAAAGAGAGAGAAAGAAAGAAAGAAAGAAGGAAGGAAAGAAAGAATGAAAAAAAAAGAAAGAAAAACGGTGACCACACAGGAGAGCAGAGGAGAAGTAATGGAATGAGTCAGGAGAACCAAAATCTTGTTTTCTTCGCTCTTCAGTAATTCTGCAGTTTCTGATCAAAGCGCTGAGGGAACAGTAGTCCTGCCTCTCCCATCTCCTCCTCAGGGAACAGACTACCTCAGCTATACTTTTCAAAGCAACTTTTTTGATCTCAAAGGTGATAAGTGCTACAGGAAGCATGAGGGAAAGAAATAACAAAGCTGTTTAGCTCTGCTTGCTCAGTGCTTTGCATCCAGTGATAAAACAGAGGCATGGGACAGTCGTGTGTTCTTATTCCTTTAGAGATGGGATCTAAACATGGAAGTCTGTCATGAAAGACAGGATGATAACCCCACAAACACTTTATGGTAATTCTGATTTTGTTTAAAAATACTAACTCCTCCAAGCAATTCTGCCCACAGTGCTTTTCAGGTTTTTCTCACCTTATCACCATTGCCACAGCAAGCGTGGACATCGAGCACTGAATGCTAGGGGCTGTAAATGCTTAAATTTAACCTAATTTCATCAGATTCTGAACAGGCCAGGGAATCTCTGAGTATGAGCCAGATTGTCCCTACTTCGCTCCCTCAGTCTCCTCTTCTTGTCATGTTTTATATTCTTATTGACTTTTACAGAGCTCCCTGAGTAATTCTTCAAGGAATGATTGACTGATTTAAGGGGTTAGTCATCCTGCAGGTTAGTAAACATGACAGCTGGTTGAGGATTAACAAGAAATAGTGAACAAAATCATCATTCACTAAGGGGTTCTCAAGTAATTAAAGTTTTCTAGCAGTAAGTCAAATAAAAAAATATAGAGTGAAGGTCAGAGGAGAAGGACCTTCAGAACCGCTGAACCCCAAAATACAAGATGCGTTGGCATAGCTAGCATGAGATGCCTAACAGCAAGGGCCCAAAGTGCCAGAGAGGGCTGCAGGCCAAAGTATTGGTGTCTCTGTGGAGCTGAGCATGAGGAAGGTATGAAATAGCTGTGGGACCTGCACAGTGGTCCTGAGGCATGTCAACAGGACGGTATGTGAGGATGCGGAGCAGGATTAAGGTGTGTTTGCAAACTTTTGGTAGCTGGGATGCTGTTTGTTTACTGTCTTGAGCTGGCCATGGCAGAGAAAACTTCAGGGCAAGATCAGGTAGCAGAGCTACCCACCAGTCCCTTCCCAGTGTAAGAGTTCATTGAGGTGCTGTGGAGAGCAGGCTGAGATGACTTCAATGGTGTCATTTCCTCTCCCTCGCAGTATCTCCATCTGCCTCTTTCTAGGATTAAGGTTTGCTGCCTTGTGGCTTCTTCCTGGATACTCTCTGTATGGCTTCCTTTTTTACTGTTTTCTTCATCCAGCATTTTACTTCTTCCATTCTGTCTTTCCTAACCTCTAGCTTCTTCTCCTGTCCTGTAAATCCCTCCTGATGGCTTTAACATTCCAAGTGTGAAAGGCCTGGCATTCTATTTAAATGGACTGGAAATGAATCGAAGCCTACTAGCCCTGGAGAAGCCAAACCAAGAGCCATCTGGTGTGAGCTGCAGATACTGATTGGTATTTAGGGAGTAAAACTCCAGTCTCACATATGCTACCTTGGCCCATAGGTTGATTAACAGGCTCCTGACAGCCTCTAATGTGGGTCACAGCGAGGAATGTCAGGACCAGTCAGGAAAATATGTTTAGTCAGGGTTGGTTTGAAGGGAGGGAGCCTGGAGTCTACTATGGCCTCACATTTTCCCTGGGGGGCAGGACAAGGAACACAGTGAGGGCAGGGATGTGCTTTAGAATTGTCAGATGGCAGAATTTATTTTTTATTGCAAGTTTCATAATCTTCCCCTTAGAGCCCCATCTCCTGGATGTGATTAAGGGAACATAGCAGCTTTCCTTTTATAGTTTTGTAAAAGCAGTGCTTTTAAAAATATCTTTTTAGCTTTCTTGCTCACGAATTAAAGGCTGTAAACATCACCTGAAAGTGACCTTTAAAATCTGAGAATCAGAATGCAAAATGTAAGAAACCCAAACTGTGGTGCTCCTGCTGGTGTTCCATTAATTTTTAAATTCTGAGAGTTTTATCTAGTATCATGATTTTAGGAGAAGAGTTATGATTTTCCAGACCTTTTTGATTCATGGCTTTATTGTACAGACGTGTATGAGAATGCATTTAGAAGTCCAACATAACTTCACTGGCTGAGGCAAGATCGTACAGCCACTGGTTGTCTGTTTTGGTTGATCACATCAAAGAGTTCCCTTCTCATTGAAGTACAGTCCTACATGAGGACTCTGTGGCCTGCTCTTAACTAATCTTATTGTTGTTCCTTAGCTTTTCTCCCTCTTCAGGAATATCTTTAGTTTCAGGAACAGCTATAGTTCTGTAATCTAGTTGAGTTTTTTTAGCACACAGAAAGAGATACGGACTCATCCCTACTCCACCTGCAGTCTAGACAGAAGAGAGAGGAGTGCTTCATTTTTTTCTTGTACAGTTCCAAGAACCTAGCTTAGATTTAGCAAGTAACAATATCCTAAGTGTAAAAAATTACTGTGGCCATTAAGCAAGAGTGAGCAGGTATAAAAGTCTGAGTTTTAGAGCACTGAGTAGACACATGCTTATCAAGCAGAGTGAATAATGGAAAAAGTTTAATTGAACCTTTTCTCTTTGGTTTCAGAGTCTAACAGCCGACGGGCGGTGAACAGAGGGTATCTTTGCGGATTGCTGAAGCTCTATCAAGACTGGCATCACAACGATGTCTCCAACGACTACATTCACATTCGTAGGGGTCTTCTAATCTGCCTGAAACACATCACCAACATCCAGCTGGGCAGGGAGACTTTTCTTGATTCCCGTGGAATGGAGATTCTTTTCACAAGTGTGCAGGTAAACGTTGCTTCTACATTTGAGATGGGTTGGTAGCTAGTCCTGGGTCTGACCTACCTAGCGTTAGAGAGTTATATTGAAAAATAGGTATTTTATCCCACAGGAAATTTCAGGGTTATTTTTATCTTAAATTTATATAGCATATCAATTAAAAATGATAGTGTCAAAGTGAAAAGTATTGACTTTTTTAACAATTATGTGAAAACATTTCAGTTCAGAATAGTTAAAATGTTTCAGTTCAGTGTTATTCCTGCAGAGCCTCACAGGAACTGAAGTCCAAGTTTTTTAATGCTTTTTTTTTTCTCCTCCCCTAATGAAGTTGCTCTCTTCTTTTATTGCTTCTCCCAAAGTGCACTACAGTGTCTACATCAAAGTTGCTGAGGTATTGCATGAGATGTTTTCTTTCAGATATCCACGTGGATAATTCCATCTAGTCAGTCTTTCTCACAAAACATGTTGTTTTATGCAGACCTTTGTCAATGACACACATCCATCAACTTTCTTTCGGGAAGCCCATTTTTAATCTTGTGGAAAATTAATGTAGCTCTATCAAGAAGATAGACATGGCCTTGCACATGAGGTCCTTATAAGGTAGGGAGAGGTGTATAACAGTAGCCGTTTCCTCTGAGTGCTCTCACCAACATGCTTCCTTAGCATCCTGCAGAGAAGACTTCAACAGAGAAGAGAAATCTTCAATACTGGATCTGTGCAATTTCACACAAGATATTTCCTTGACATTCTGTCTGGCCAGTGAATTATATCTTTTAGCACCTCTTTTAACATAATTTAGAAAATTCATTGCCTTATGATCCAGTGCCTTGGATCCTATGCTCCATACCTCCCAATGCTTTCCTGAACTATTCTGTGACAGAAAGATAAGCACCACCAGTAGGCGCTTAGTTGGTGAAGTTTTTTCTTTCATCTACTTCATGAGGAAATGACCATTATTTGAGGGGAATAAGGATGACCAGACACAGTGCAGCTTCCAGAGGATAGGACTTCTGATCATGGGAAGTCCCTAGTTTGCAGAAACTTGAATGGGGTGGATGGCAACAGCTGCTTGGAGGCAAATGTCAGCTCATTCCTTTTCAAGAGCCTTCTACAACCCATGTTGTTTTCTGAGCTAACATCTCCTGATAGCTCAGCCCGGGAGCCACTCGATGAAAAGTGCAAGCACAGGGGCACCTTGGGTGAATAAACAGGAAATGGCACGCTAAGAATCCAGTGAACAATGAGACTGCTAATGCTTCCAAAGGGTAGAAGTGGAGCGGAAATTACAGCTTCAGGGGCCTCCAATTTGCTTTTTCTACAGAGTGCCACTAGAGAGCGCTTGGAAGAGGGAACAACAAGGTTAACGGATCAAAAGCTCCACATTCCCTCATTCTGTCTTCGGGATGGTCTTATGTACTCTACTTGAGGAGGTTCTCTCCTATTTTCAAGAGGAGCCCGGCTGCCCTATGAGATCTCACCCAAGACAGAAACTACTGGTGCCAATGAAAGAATTACTCCTCCTCATCACAACAGAGAGAAAATGAGAGATGCATCATCCTGAGAGGAACTGCAGGCTGCAGTGAGAGAGAATGAGACAGAGACAGGGCAACACAAACAGCTCCTGCTTGGGGAACTGAAAGCTCTTCTATATGTAAACAGCATTTCGATGCCTTTAGGAATGTGGTACTTGTGGTGATTAGCCTTGACCAAACCCTGACCAGCTAGTGAAGTTTTAAAGATGTTAAAAGCTGGCTAAAAATGTCCACTGAAATATATTTTCATTAGATATATTACAATCAAAACATTTTGGTGAAGATGGATTTGTTTTAATGACATTCCAATTGAATCCTATTTGCAAGGCAAGTTTTCACTTGAAAGCTCTGCAGCTCTATGGGTGATGAAAAACTGAAATACCTAAGCTCTTAGTAGCAGCCCTAAGCCCATGTTTTTACGGAAAAAGCCTATATAGTTCTAAGACTAGAAATGACTACTACTTTATTCATTTGCAGAGAATTTGGACATATTTTGATGCTGTCTTTCAAATAACATGAGTTCCCTGATAGTATTCCAGTGGGAAATAAAATGCAAATGCTTGAGATCCTGCCATTACAAACATATTTCTTCGAAGATAAAAAGGCAGAAAGAGGAGGAACAGAAAAAAACAGAAAAAAAAAGCCATGAATATATAGATTCTGTATTCTACTCAGATGAATATCTTAGTGTTTTCATGACTCTGTCAGCTCTATAAGATTCTAGATGGTGAGCATGTGGCATGGGGAGTCTTGCAGTAGGCAGGGCAATTGTAAGAGACAGATAATTCCAGATACTTTTATCCTTCTGCTCTAGGATTGTTTATCTTTCAAGAATTTGGATCCTATTGTAACAACTGTGACTCAGATCCTGAGAAAGTGCTACCCCAAAGAGCCTTTGCCTGTGCCAACAGCTGGAAGTTCCTATTCCTTCTCTATTCCTGGGAAAGTTAGCACCGAATGTCCATGTATGGTACCTGAAGGTAAATGGCTGAAGGATGAGTATTTAGTAAAAGAAAGAGGAGCATGACAAGAGAATGAAATGTGAGGAATGGGGAAGGGAGTTTTGACGGCCTGGTCCTGATGTTTTGTGTTTAAAATTAGGCTGGTGACCTACAGTATCACTCAATAGAGACTGACCTACTCCCAGATCTTCTCAAGAGCTGAAGTTTTTTTTAATTTTATTTTTTTGGAAAATAAAGAAGGATATATTTAAGAGAGAGAAAAGGAAAAAAATGTTTTATCCAAAAACGATGGAAAAGAGTGGACAGGTCAGAGACTGCAAATGGTGCTGCTCCATGAAAGCAACAGGGAGAGATATGATTGTGCCTTTGCATGAATTCTCCTCTCCAGCTTTTTCAGTAAAGAATTGCAGGAAGTATTAGCTTTTATCTTTTCTAAAATAAAAGCAGATAACAGGCATACTGCATGAGTAGAGTGTGTGAGCACTTGCTGAAAACAAAACCCAGACACAGGCAGGACAGGCCAGAGAAAAGGACAAACAGCAGAACACCATCATGCACACAAGAGATGTCTCTGTTGCCTTTAGTTTCACATGGAAGGTGTTCACATACTAAAGAGATGATGGCAGTAAAACACCCTAGCAGTAAAACACCCCAATCTAGATAATATAGATTAAGAGCATCCTGTAATACCATTGCAGCCAAGCACAAAATCTCTATTGCTTTGTAATAAGGGCTGGAGCCATATCATGGTGACATTTGTCATGGATTTGAAAGGCATGCTAGAGTCCAAGAAACCATAGCATTAAAAAGTGGGACATTCACTACCAAATTCATTTATACTAGATTAACAAATGGGATCTGCTTTAATCACAGTTGTGGTGAGTTGTAGTTGGAAGGAGCCTATGCCACACACAGAAGAGATTGTATGTATTTCCGTGGAAGGCCTGAGGGAGGGAATATTAAGTTGAACATTGCATTTGCCTCTTCCTGTTTTCTGTTTCTGCAGATGATTATGAAAGTGATGGAGAAGAAGATGTGGAAAAAGACTTGGATAATGATGATGATGAGACTAAGGAGGAAGTAGGTATAATAGCCCAAGCCAGTCATTCCTCTACGGGGAAGTTAAACTTTCCATCATCCATTTTGACAACCTGATAAGCCATCTAAGCAGAGAGTGTAGCTATGCCTGTGGTCCCATATGTGTACAACACATCAAGAACAGAAGGATACTTGAAAGAAAAAAAAAAGTGCTGCCCTGTACTGAAGAGAATCTCTTGCATATATCATATTCATTGCCATGTCTGTGACCCAGGGTGGTGCAGCTGTTGGAATCACATGCATAGTCAGGGGTAACCATGTCTTTTTGATTTTAATGCGAGTTAGTGAACAGTCTGCTAATACTCTTGTCCATGTATGTGATATGGGAAAAAAAGTGAGAGAAATTAAATTGCAAACACAGTCTAATTACATATGATTGAGACCTCTATGAAAGGGCCTTTTCATTACTTGCTCTCTCCTTTTTTATTTTCTTTAAGAAAAGGAAATATGGCCTTAAGAAAATCATTAAGAAAAGGTGATACAACACCCAATGAATAAATGAAATTGTTGCCTCAGTGTCCTAACTTGCCCTTGTATGTCTGTTTTTATCTGAATATTAGTGCTCGTCAAGCTGCTCATTAGGAATAAGGTTCACTGTGAATTTATCTCCTTCTTTAATTAGTTATCCATTCAGAAACAGATCCTATGTGCCTCTGAACTAGTTCATTATTCACAAGGATTAACCAAGTAGATGTGAGCAGGGTTTTTTTGCCAGGGTGCTCTGAATGTGTGCTTTAAGTACTTTTTGTCTGGTGTGCTGGTTGTATATTTCCCATGACAAATCTCTCTAAAGGGAAAGCAAGCAGGGAATAGATAATGAAGTTTCAGTTTACCTTTTATTATAAGGTATCATTTGCACAACATTTGGAGATATTGATGTGATTTGCAAACATTTTCACAGCTACCTAATGAGCATCCATGCATAATGGGTAATACCAATGAAGTGGTAACTGGCCATAACACTTCCATGAGTAATTGTTCAAACAGCTGCACCAAAATCAAAATTATTGCAACTAAAATACAGTCTTCTCAGGCTTCCTTCCCATCATCCCAAATCCTTATAATCTCTGAAGCTGCTTCTGTCTTGCATTTCTGGTGGTAAATACTTTTAAATTCACCTCAAATATTTTGTGCACCCCTTCATTCTCTTTTCAACTAAGCCAAACCAGCAGTTCAAACTCTGCTTTGCAATACAGCTGTGACTCGGTGTTTGAAATGCTGTGGATACCCTGGCGTCCAGGCAGATTTTTTTTTTTTTGCTTTGTTTTGATAAATAGACTCATTCCTGAAGCTATTATCAGGAGCAAAACACGTCTTTGATGGTGTTTGGTGGTGCATACTTACTAACAACATGCTGAATTATTTGAATAATGCTGTTATGTAATGGCCATTCATCAATGCCATATCTGTCCTTCCCTCTCCCACCATCTGTTCCTGGTTTCTAATGCTGTGAATAAATACTTGACACACCTTGGTTTTGCTTCTGGTATCTGATAAGAAGAGGGTTGCAAATAAATGCATAGTTGCCTTTGTGTGGGGAAGTTTAATATACAATTTTTATTTTTGCTTCACTCATGACTAGGATCTAAAAGCTTTTTATTTCCATAAAAAGTCAAGAAAGAGTCTAGAAAATGAATTGGGCTTCAAATGAAGGGAATTCAAATCTGCTTATCAACAGTTTTAAGAGATAAAATAAATATGAGTAATCAGTGCCTGTGAGTTCCCTGATACTAGGGTGAGCCTCTCAATTCATGGTCTATGTCAGAAGTGTCAAGCTTTCTGATTTTGGTAGTACACTGTGAGGCCAATTTATCTATGAGGCATTTTGAGAATTTTCTTGCTAAGTATATATTTATTTGATATGTGCTAAATACACATTGGTTTAATTTGTGGTCTCTGAATCAAAATACTACCAAATTATTTCTTGAGGACCTGTGCCTATGCTTTACGTAACGTAAATGAGAGAATGATTGACAAGCTCAGAAATAATTAGTTTTTGTTTAGTCCCTTTTGGAAGATTCCAAGCTTTTACTTTTACATAGGTTCAAATTTCAGTAAATTGGTTTGGTTTTGGGGAACGAAATTTTTCAAGGTCTCCTCACATCCTCAAATATCAAGACACCAGATTCCTATTTTTGACGATATAGTCTTACCTCTTAATTCCATAAAATGCTTATAACAGTCTTCATTAGTATGGAGAGAATGGTTGTAGGACTCAACTATTGTGTTTAGTCAACCACTGAATGTGATGTCATTGAGGATTATACAGTGTGTTAATTTAAGAGGAGTCTTGTAGGGCATGTTTATCCTTTTCTAATTCTGCTTTTGAAGGATTATGACTTGGAGACAGACGTGAACAAACTGAGGTCAAGGCCGGTGCTTGATTGGCCAGAGGAGGAGCTTAAACAATATGAAGCAATGTGTCCAGAGCTTTCCTGTAATTTTCAGGTATGATCATAGTGTGGCTTGCTTTATTTGCTAGTATTCAAAAGGTTAAAAAATACTAAAAAAAAAAAAAAAAAAAAAGTACTGATAAGAGGTGAGCCTCTTACAAAATGAAGATTGGGTGTCTCATAGCTCGGGAAAAATGAAGATTAATTCTTTTTGCTTTAGTTTATTAGCCTGAATCTAGAGTGATAAGAGAATGAGTGATATTGCTATCTGATAGTTATTTGCTGCACATTTGACTGGGTTTGGGTTACTAAAACCTGCTGAATCAATTGCCATATATGAGATCTGTCAGATAGTAATTTGTGTCCTTGCTGGCTATTTCAACAGTAATATTGGGATCTGAATGAGATGTTGGAAAATAAACACTGTTGGCTAATGGTTTAAAGGAAGCGATGAAGAAATTTGTGCTGCTGCTAGTGAAACGCTTAGTTCAAATCATTGCTCTATAGCAACTTGGGACAAGAAATGGAGAGAAGTGTTATGCTCATTGCTGGTCTCAGAAGGAATTTGGGAATGGTGAAAGCAGTGATTCAAATCTGGATCTGGAAAGGACCACTGGGTTAATATATCTCCTATACTCCAATACTATGGTGTATATTAGGACCACAACTAGCCAAATGGGGTTAAATTATACTCTTGCATGAAGACAGGGCTGGGATATGGCATGACGGATGCTATTTGCTGCGACATTTAATTCACAAAATATAATTTTAATATCTTCCCAAATTTGTTAGAACACTCAGGTTTGATTGGAGGTGACCTGCCCAGAGGACTCAGTCTGATCCTTTCTGGCAGGAGATCTATAAGCTGATTTTTACTCTGGCTGTCTAGTTGGATGAATGCAATTTTTTGAGATTTGTAAATATTTTCTCTTTCATCCCTGAAAAGTTTCCCTCTGGAAGGATGCTCAATCTGTCTTTAGTGTCTTTTAATTTCTTCTGCTTTTTGAATTTAAAGGATCTTGAATTAGAGTCTGAAGAAGAGAAGAGCTCGGAGGACAACACTGAGAATCTTCCATCTACTCCCTCTTATTTGATTCCAAGTGCTACTTCCGTGAAACATCAAAACACACAGAGAACCCAAAGTGTCACAGTGACGGGACCAGATCCAGGGGAGGAAGATTTTAATGTCCCACTGCAGAGCTGGACAAAAAAGGAGAAATGCAGATGGGCTCAGATCGCTGAGAAGAGAGACATGGTAGAGGCAGTCCAAGATGCAGACTCCTGTGAAGGGGAAGATATGGCCAGGACTCATGTGGTTACTTTGCGTCCTCTCCCAAAAGAGGCTGCTTGGTACAAACAAATCTTTGACATTGAATGTGAGGCCTCAATCAATCCTAGTCTTGGAGGAAGACTGAAGCCCTCAGATATAATGAAAAGTCTTCTGAAGAAACACCAAGGGAATATGCCATTCCACAACCCTTGCTTTTATGTATCTCGGGCTGAATGCGTCAAGTCCATACCAGACTACAAATTCTTGGCATTCCCTGATTTCTGGGGTCACCAGCCACCTCCTTGTGGCAAGCCCATGTTGGAACGGAAGTATGGGGTTCAGAGGTGATTGCGCTTTAATATAATTGGTCCCTGGCTCAAAACTGGCTTATATAAGTTTTGGCTATCTCATTTCTGAGTTTTCTAGGAAGATACAGAACACATTTTAAGGCAAACAGTGATCTTCCACAAGGAGATAGGCCAAAGAGCAGAACAGTTTTATTTGGGTTTTACTCTTAAGGAAAGGAAAATGTTGGCCTACTGGATTAGGAACAGGATTAGAAATCAGTAGACCTATTTCTTATCTCAGATACAGACGTCCTGTGTGTCAGAGTGTGAGCTGTGAAGTATCCGTGTGTTTCTTTCATTGTCTGGTAGATGTAGCAGTGACAGTCTTCATTTCTGTGAATCCATAAACACTCACTTATACTCCAAATTGGATTGCTGTTGATTAACGTGGTTATGGATAAACCACTTATGCATATGTGGTTATGGATAAAACACATTGCAAGTGTTGGGACTGTGAGCTGATCAAAAGTCTGAGAGGGATCTACTCACACCTTTCCCCTAAAGTGCACAGACCAGGGCCCTGGGTCCTAAGGAAAAATCCTATCCATCCCCTTGGAACTGTGTGTCTGCATCAAGTTATTCTTGTAGATCCCTTCTCAACCCTTGTGCTGTGGTGTCCCTCCTTGCTGCACTTCTCCTTGTGTGCCTGCTCCATGGGACACTCCTGGGGCTTCTCCTCCTTCCCTAGCTTGTGGTTCTGCTTGTGGTAGGGGTATGATTGCTTGAATTCATCATGAGCCGGAGAGCAGGAGCTAGGACATGGCAATCAGTCAGCTTTGCCTCCTCACTGCCCACCCCAGCCCTCCAGGAGAAGGCAGCATACATGGCATGCAGCAAACAGTACTGTAGATCTCCCCTCTGGCGCAGTGCTAGAGGTTGCTGTTTCTCTTATGTCATTTTAGGGGTTCAGCTAAGGGGAAGGCTGTGTTTTGAAGCCATGCTGGAGGAAGAACCTCTTCCGCTAGCTGACTTTTTGTCTATTCCATGTGTGGCTCTATGCAGTGATTTTACATTTGTTTTTAGTGACATAGGGAGTTATTACCGGATACCAAAAAAGCTCAATATACAGGATTCTGAGGTAAACTTCGAGGTTGATCAGCACTAATCAAATGGCATTTGTGAAGACTACTACTATTTGACCTCCAGAGAGATGATGGTTCTTCCTGCAGCAAATATAAAAGTTAAAAATCTTATTTAGAGGTAAAATGAGTCTACCATCTTCTGCTTGCTCTACTGCTCTAAAAGCTTTGCTTTTATGGCTGTAATAACATCTGTAACCATATAGCTAAAGTGAGAATAATCATATCATGCTGCAGGCCATAACATGGTTGCTGCAAAGGTCAGATACAAAATCAGCATTCCACATTTGATCTTATCCTGTGATTGGGAAGCTAAGTTTACTAATGTGTAGAATTTAGTCTGATTTGGAGTCAACATTCAGTATGGAACAGATAAATAGGTTTATAAGTTATGGCAGATATTTCCTCATGGGGGAAAGCTAGTTGGGAGACTGAGATTAACTAGGAAGAGCTGGGGATAAATCAGATTTGACAGAATATTGTAGAGAATAAAAATTGTACAGAATCTGTCATTTAACCCAAAAGTCAACTTCTCGTGATGGGAATTAAGCAGGAGCTTTCTCATGGTAAAAAATACATGGATGAAGTTTATCTGGAATTAGCACATGGAAGTCTTCTTTCTTTGTCCCTAGGGAGCATTTCCTAATCTTTCGTATTTCTTCTGCAATATTAACTTGTGCTTTTCATAGTCTCCTTGCAATTTGCCTTTTTTTTTTTCTTTTTTCCTAGGGACAGAGTCCTAGATGATGTTCGCCGTTTAATCCAGCCGAGTGATGTGATAGGCAGAACCATTTTTGATTTAGATGAGCCCAGGTGGGTCATCTTGATTGAGTTCTGTAACTGGGGGCACTACTGATGCTGGGTCACATAGCAAGCTCACTGCATAATTCACTTGATTCAGCTCGGATGAAGGAATAGTAGTAGTAGTGTAGGAGATAAAGTTTAATAGGGAAAATATGCTGCAGAGGTAGTTCCTGGTACGTGACTCTGGGAAAGGATTTGTTTGGGGAATGGACAGAGCAAGAGATTCTCCAAACTTTTTAAAGGATCAAGAAAATACACACATCCAAAGGCTTGTATTGTGTCCCTGGGTATGTCTATGCTGTGGGCAATGGTTTGGGGTAGAGACATAGGCTCACACTGAAGGGTGTAGCTATGAATCCAGACAGTCTCTCCGCATCTGAGGTGGACCATGGGGTTGACAGATTTTCTGTTGAGAGTGAGCTTGAGTGTCTGTACTGCTCAGTGTGGCAGATTGTAGATGTACTGTGCAAGGCATTGAACTTAAAACACACTTCTGAAAACATACAGCCAGACGTGTGAACTGTGACAGGCACTCACATATGGCCAGTAATTCTGGGCCTTGAGAAAATGTAGCAGAAGGCAGTTGAGAAAGGCACAAAGCTGAAGAAACTGCAGATAGAGGAAGGATAAATGACTTGGAGAACTTTCTCTTAGGAAAATGGAGGGGAGTTTGAGGTAGGAGAGAGTTGTAAAGTTGTTAAAGATGAATTTAAGGATTTTTAAGCTTTAGAAAAGAGTAGCAATATACACGTGGAAGGAGTAAACAGACAGCTTGTGTAGAACTGCCTATTTAATAAACTAACAGGAATATATTAATGGGGAAGGTAACTTGGATAAAGAATGTAACTAAAAATTGGGACAAAATGGATTACTGGGAAAGGAAAAGGAGGTTTAGAATCTTCAAGCAATAGTAGAGAACGCTGCTGTTTTGGGTAGAAAGATTATGGATTTGTTTTCCTCTTCCTACATCTCACAGTTTTGCTCATAAAAAGCTTATGGAAAGCTATAGTAAGTTCTACCAGTTGCCAGAGAGAACTTATCTTTAAAGTGTCCTACTATAGATATCCTTGCTTTGATTTACTGTAGTCACTCAAGCCCAGGTGCTCCAGACTGCCTGACATTCTTCTCCAAGTTTGAATCAGGAAACCTTCGCAAAGCCATCCAAGTGCGTGAGTAAGTACCCCTGGTTAGTGTTGTCCTGCTAGCCTCGTGTCTGTGTCCATCATGAAATGCTGGCTGCCTGCTGGGTTCTAAAGGGGTCAGACAGAAAATCGGGTTTTAAGCAACTTAGCTTCTAATGCCTGCCAGCAGTGGATGTCATGGAGGTAACAGGAGGGAGAAAATAGCAGATAATTCTGATATGATACATGCAGTGTGAGTATTTGTTGATGTGTTTGAGTGCTGCTAGTTTGATGACATGCTTTAACTCTTACAGGATATTAAAGATTTTGGTTGCACAACCTGCTTTCCTCAGCAGGTTTAGTGGCAGACTGGTCTGGAATTCATGGCCACTGTTTTTGTCTCTTGTTTAACAGGTTTGAGTATGACTTAATTATGAATGCAGATGTGAACAGTAGCCAGCATCACCAGTGGTTCTACTTTGAAGTCCGTGACATGAAGTTAGCAGTTCCGTATCGCTTCAACATTATCAACTGTGAGAAGTTCAATAGCCAGTTTAATTATGGTATGAGACTTTGGGGAATTGGGATTGTCTTCTGTTTATTAGAATATCTTTTTAATGTCATAAAGTTTGTATATTCACAAGTCTCTCAAATGTGGGGAGACTCTTAAGTTTCATTTTGTCTGCCCTGAAATCAACTGAAAGAATTACTTGAAATTTGTCAAAGGATTCCCTGTTCTCTGGAGGAATGGGCTTAGTGTTGAGTCCCAGAAGAGGATCTGTGGGAACAAGATCACTGTTCGGTAATTAGAGACCAGGACTTTGAACAAATAGCACTGGGGTTTTGAGAGGAAAGGAAGAGAGTTTGTTGGGATTGAATTAGCAACATGAGATTGGAGAAGTCTTCAAAAATTTAAATAAGTGTGCATCATCCTCAAATATCCATGATTTATCAGTTTATCAGTAATACTTCTCTGCCTCTAGAATTGCTCTGACTTATGGTGATATTATTGATTAAAAAAAAAAAAAATCAATACCTAGCTGTGTTTGAGCTCCTGCCACAATCTGTAGTTTAGGAGGAAGGCTGCATTGCTCAGAAACAGGCAGGGCAAATCCCAGCTTTCAACATCCATTTTAGAACAAAAGTGATTTCTTCCACATGGAAACTGTGGGTTGAATTCCTAGCTAGCATATGATATTCTTTTTTCTTGTATTTGTTTCCATGGAGCTTTGTTAATTTACACCAGCTCAAGACCTGACACAGAATGCTTAATAAGCCCCTAATATCAGACTTTGCATTCCTCTGAAGCCCTGTGGATACAGCCTTTGACATCACCACGGGAACTCTCTCAGGATCAATGTACCTAAAACAAATAGCGCTAGGAGCTAGAATGATTTGTCACTTGTATTTGTGAAACTGGCTGGGTAAGTGGCAAAATGAATTATAATGCATTTGCTCTTTAGCCCTAAGGGCTGGAGTTCAAGTACTCATATAGATCCCAAATGAAAATGAATTTTTTGTTCTCATCATATTCTGCTCCCCTGAATTACCAAACAATTCGGTGTGGCTGTGTCTGGTGGCAGCCTGAAGGCGAGATGCATTGAATCCTTCCCATTGCAAATCCCACTGAAACCTCTGATAACAGCCACCAGTAGCTTCATAGCTAGAGATTCTGACTATTATTGGTGGAAAGTTGCTTGTTGCCTACTGTTTTGACTGTTGTCATCATTTATCACCTTATTTTGTAAGCCTGAAATTGGACATGACTCACATCTTCAAGCATGTAATGAAAAATACATATTTGGAAGAAAAATGTGAAAATGGCATTTGATATGAGGAAGCTAAGCAAGGACTTGCTTTTATATGGCTATTAAGGTATTTTTTCTCTGGGTTGCTTCTGCTGCTGAGTGAGGCTTGCTACCCCTTCTAGCACATGCATAACATTTACACAGACTGTGGATGAGAGATGCTGTTTATTTATTATATTTCCTTTGTACTTTCCTGGGCCAATGTCTGTGCCATGATACTAGAAGTTTCCAACCCTGATATAGTGCCAAAGTGCCAAGGGTGGTAATAATTACAGCTCATGTTCACCATTGTGTTTGAATTTTCCCTTTCCTTTGCTTTTGGTTAGTTGGCACTGTGTAATTTTCACATCACCAAAAGGACGTGTCATGGAACAGTCATGACAAGCAGCAGAGCAAGTCAGGAAGTAAAACTCCCACCTCTATCCTTCCTTTTATTTATTTTATTTTTTTTTCCGACAGCTCAGTCTACCGTAGAAAATCCTGAGATTTTGCCAGAAGCTTGACTTGTTTGTTTTCTAAAACTGAATGTTGCCATGGGGAAAAAGGAAAGAAAAAAATGTGATTTCTTGAATTGAATGGAGATGGCAGAGCAACATCAACCATAGCTCTGAGGCAGTGCATTGTATATGTTCTTGTGCTGCAGCTTATGGAGAAGGGCAAGTGCTGAAATTTTGGATGTTAAGAACATTATAGACCTTGAGCCGCATGTCCCTCTTGTCTGATGAATTGGGCTTCTGGGAAGGTTTGTGTCTCTCATAATTCACCGTGGCCTTTGTTCTGGAATCTGATGCATAATCACTTCTTGTATGTAGCTCGTGTCTCTGGTTCATGAAGCAGCAAGAGAGAGGTTATTGCTAGCTCTAGGCTAGCTGGTGCTTGAAATGCCTTTCCCTTCACCTTTGGCTGTGATGCAGGGTAGTACTGAGTCTGCTGGCACGTCTGCCAGCTCTTAAAGGGTTGGAGAGTTTTAGTAGAGGAACCAAAAGAGGAAGGGACATCAAATATGTCATCAGGATTAATGATGTTCATGATTTTCGAGAATCACCTCCTCTAGGCTCCAAGATGAATCTAATGAAGAGCAACAAGAAGAGCTTCTACATGATATCAATGACAAAAGGAAGGCTAAGGAAAATGTGTCCAGCAACGGCCCATAAAGGGATAGAAGTGTCTGTTTTATGAGGAGAGGTTGAGAGAGCTGGAAATCTTTAGCCTGGAGAAGAGAAAGCTCAAAAAGGATCTTATCAATGTGCATGACTACTTGAATGGAAGGAATAAAGAAGACAGACCCAAACTCTTTTTGGTGGTATCCAGTGAAAGGAGAAGACAACAAGCATAAATTAAAATATGGGGAATAGCATTTAAACATCAGGAAAAAAAAGTATTTAGTAGCAGGGTAGCCGAACACCGGAGCTGGTTGCCCAGCAAAGTGGAGTCACCATATTTGGAAATACTCAAAATGTGACTGGAATGGACCTCAGCAGCTTGCTCTAGTTGATGCAGCCTGGAGCAGGGGGTTGGTCTAAACGAATTCCAGAGATACACCTAACCATCTAACCTCAATGATTCTGTGACACCTGTGCCACTCTGCAGCTTGGCCTTCAGGTTGTGGAGGCACCATGGAAAGGATTTACTGAGCAGCTTGGAGGAAGCTGTTAAATTGAAATGGGTGAAGTAGAAGTACAGGGAGGATGGAACAATAGGAAATCAATGTATATGTGGGGTAGGAGAGCAGCAGGTGTATAGAGCAACAGAACTTGATAGAACAACTGCCTGCAAATGGGCTGACTTCATGTAACTGTGAATAATGTGTGCACAGTACAGATTAGAGAGAAAACCTCATAGCTTAGGGCATGAAATGGTAATATTTTGGAGGTCAGGAAGAAGTCACCTACCAGTATTATATGGTACAAAGACAGATACTGTCTTTATCAGCATTTGTAGCACAACCAGTATTATTTAGGTCTCATAGCAAGTTTTAAGCCTTCTTTTAAGACATTTAGTTTTACTTGCTGTTTTTTAAAATGAATGATACAGGGTGCACCACAGTTTTCTAATGTTATGGTAGAGTTAAAGATTCAATAATGATATGGCCAAGGGTAAAATACTGGACAAACCAGATTATTGATCTGTTTGGTATGTTGATTCGTGTTTTTCTCTTATTTCCCTTTCTCTGTCTGTTTATTTGGAGAGCTGCTTGCAGTCCTTCTCTGCAGAAGCCAATAGGATAATATATTTTCTAATGATCTTGATCTAGATTGCTTCCTTTGGCCATGTTTTTTTATGCAGACATGGCTTCAATAGAACTAAGCATGGGACTGTAGGGTAATGTATTTACTTTGCATAAGCTGAGAGCAGAGAGAGTGCAGACAAAATAATAATGCCTCTCGCATTTCCCGCCCTCCCTTTTCCCACCCATGCCTTTTCCAGCAGGGAAAATTACTTGTCACTTAAAACTGTCTTGTTTTGTGTAGGAATGCAGCTGGTCATGTATTCAGTGAAGGAAGCTCTCCAGGGCAGACCTTGCTGGCTTCGGGTGGGCTCTGATATCAGCTACTACAAGTAAGTGCATCTTTTGGGAATAATTTGTGGCTTCCCTTTCCCCTTTTCCCTTGTAGTTGTCTATATTGATGTTGTCAAGTTTTGATCACCGCTACTGCTACCTGTTTCAAATGTTTCTAAATTGATGCTAGTCCAATGTGCAACTTTAGGAAACAGGCACAGGTGAAATCTTTATATTAGGCACCTGGGGAGAAATAGGGCAAGTGCAGAATTCTCTTCCCTAGAGAGGAGGAAAGGGAAACAACTGGGAATGCTTGAACCTTGCTACAGCTGGGACTGTGAGGAAGTTTTAAAGATATTGTAGGTGTTTCCCTCTCCAGGGAAAATGAGATGGATGGAGTTACTGTATTCCTTCCGCATGCACCAACCTTTATAAGAGATGTAGGAACTGAATATATGAAACTGAAAATGACATTAATTGGCTAAACTCCTAAGTAGTAATCTCATGGCAGAGTTGAGCTTTTCTGGCATGGTAAACAATAGTCCTTTCTTCACAAGGTCATGTAGTAATGCTGGTCTTAGAACTGAAGTTAAAGTAATGGCCTTTATTCTTAGGAGAAATTGTATTTTTGTTGAAGTTCACAGTTTTACTGTTAAGGTTCAGAGCTGGCTGTATTCAGCAGTGGATTTGATGAGACAATAAACCCAAACAGTGACAGTGGGCTGCCTTTCAGAAGTAGTAGAATCTCGAAGTTGAGTTTTAAGAAATTCCAATCCACCCCGAATCTCTCTAGCAATCTCTTTTGGAGGTCTGGGGCTGAAAGTATCCTCTTTCCACCTGTCATCTTCCTGTAACAATTCAAATAACAATTTTATGTTGTCCTCCAGGTATTCTTCACCAACCTTTATTCACCTGACCTTTTCCTCTGGATCTGTTCTGCTTTCCTGCTGTGGTGCAGGGGCTTCCCTTTGCATGCCCATGGCCTTTGGCTTCTGTGACTATAGGTTTCTGAGTCCAAAGGGTAGGCACCAGTAGGCAGGCTGGGCAAACCTGATGTGCTGATTACTGCAGCAGTGACTCCTCCTGCCATTAATAAGGTAGTTATTGTGCAGCGATTAAATAAATTACTTTTGTGATTGAGCCATGATTGTACAATTAAGCCCCTAATCAGATTCTTGTTCAGAGTATGTAAGAGAGTGGAGTTGTATTGATTTGGAATATTTGGTGTTTTATAATTATACATTGAATTATATGTCGATATGTGCATCTAGAATAACTGCCTGTTATCCTAAGGATATCAAGGATTTGGCAAATCTTAAGAAAACCTCATCTAATTCCTTTTACAAGGAGGTGATGATAAACTTGGAAAGAGACTGATATACTTGCAAAAATAAGGAGAAAGTCAAAGATGCCCTTAATTACTTCTGCTCCACAGCTCTGTCTGAAAGCAACCTCTGAGCTGAAGGACAGTGGGAGGAAGGGCACGCTCACAGATGTCTGGGTGATGCACGTTGCCTCATCTTTGCTGACATCCATCTTCTCTGAAGATGGGATAGTTCACTCATAAAGATGAATGTCGTGGCACAGCTCTGTCACCGGGTACCTTTCCCATATGTCTCAGAACACACCTTTTATGCTAGGGAGAATATTAGCAGCGCTCTTGTCAAAAGAAAGCTGAGTGACACTTCTGCTCTATTTTATGGCCTCCTCATGAAGTGACAGGATACACCCATGACAAACAGAGTTGCGGTAACTGTAAGATCATCTAATTTGCTTGCTATCTTGGCAGCTTTTATGCACTGAACAATTTTCCTTTCCAGCAAATTATTTAAGGGACAGTGTCAGCTGAACTTGTGAGACTGTGCTTGCTCCTTTGGTTTCATGACTCATTCTAAGCATATTATCTAACCTCTGACTTTTCCAGGCAATAATCAGTTCATAGACAGTAAAGAGGTACATGGAGTGTTTTGTTCTCACATGAAGACGTGGCTATTTGGTGCTGTCAGAACTGGGCCTTCTCTTTTCAGGAGCTTTATGATCATATTAGAAGAAATTATCACAGTGAGCATTAGCAGGCCACCTAGCTGATTCCTACGAGGGAAGTCAATCTGAAACATGCTGGAAAATGGTCTCTCACTACTCAGTTCTAATGATATGTACAAAACAGGGCTGGGACCTTGACAATATGAATATAGGCATTAATAGGCTATATTTCTGTGAGCATATGCTGTTTTGAATGGGATTCTGACTATGACTAACATAGATCTGACTATTGGAAGAGTTCTATTATATTTTTGCCAGCCTGCAACATGGCAGACCCCAAAATAAAACTCAATTTAGTCGTGCCCATAAATTGTTAAATAATGCTTGTGTCTGCTATAAAACAACACATTGCTAAAGTGTATTGCAATAGTAGCCATGCTTAGAGATGTAAGAGGATCAGGGCATGTTGTAAAACAAGGACATCAGTCACCACATAGCAGGAATATTTTGGATGAAGGGAATGCATCATCATTAGAAAGAAGTGAAAAAATAGTTTACTTTAAATTTAAAATCTTTTCAAATGGCCTTGAAGTCTGTGATACAGATATATTCCTCTGCCACTTTAGTCTAAGCTGATGCTGTGCAATATTCCTTCAATTTCTAGTGCTTTTTATCAGATTAAATGCTGCAGGCAGGAAGTCAAAGCATAGGGTGAGTGTGACCTGTTGTTCTTGTATGTCTTGGTGATGCTCAATTCCAGAGTTCCAGTCCAGCTCCTTTACTGACTGGCCTGCATGTGCCTTTCTTTGGCCAAGGGCTTCCCCTGTCTGTGTCTGTTTTCCCTTCTATAAGAGGTGTCTGACTGGCGCCACTTATCAGCCACCCAAAGAACGGGGACAGATAAACGGGAGACAAGTTTTAATTAAATAGTGCTTGAAAATGACTTTTGAGCATGAAAAATTACTGTACAGAGTAAGTGATAAGTGTTACGGTAATTATTATTAATTAACTTTCTATCACACCTATGTTAGAAACACACTACCTGCACATTATGTCTGGTGGAGAGCAGCAAATAAAATGATTTAATTATTGCAGAGAGTGGCTGAAATTTACAGCAAATACAGCTTGTGTGCTGGTAAAAAACATCCCTTGTGCTTTTATTTCCTTCCTAATAAGTAGTGTATTAACTTCTGGAGTGCATGCCAGAGTTTGGGAACATTTTTGAAAAGAGAATGTAAATAAGGTAGTGAGGGGTAGATCTTGGTAGGGTCTTTTTCCTCCCTTGAGAAAGGGATGAAGAAAAGTACTCGCTTGGTGGAGAAACAAAGAGGCAACAGAGCTGTCTTGGGTGACAAGAGCAGAAGGAGAGAGAGGCAAGAAAGAAGAGTGCTGGGATTTAGGTTTCCCTTAAGAATATTTAGAGCTTCTGCATTAAATAGTTGATTGTGAGGAGACCAGATTTTCTGCTCTTGGAGTACATAATCATTTACACTGCTTGGGCAGGTGTTTTTTTCTTTTTAATGTATAAGTAGAGAATATTGAAGCCTCACAAAGCCACTTGTAAACCTACTATTAGGCAGTTTGCTCTAGATTGAGGCAGGTGTCAGGAAGTGCTTCAGAAGTGCAGAAACATCTGTTCAGGGTGGCAGTGAGGCTGGTGCTGGAACTGCAGAGGTGCTCAAAACAAGAATGAGATGTCCTGCTAAGCAATGCTGTGCAAGAGCTGTGCATAAGGTCCCTCAGGTTCTTGAGATCAGAGCACTGTCAGGAATAAGGAGCATTCACTGCTAGGGTGGCAAGACCAGAAGTGTCTGGTGGTGTAAAATTTCTGAGTGATTTGGCCATTTAGGCAGGGGAGACTTTTGACTGCAGAATTGCAGATGGTAGAGGGAGAAGCCTTTACTGAAGTATTAGGGTCAGGCAGGGACATGTTCCCAAAAGTGCATGGCAGATGTACAGGCAGTGACTGCCTGCCACACTCACTCCACCCCACACCTCTCACTAGCAACGTGAATTTGGAGGGAGAACCTTGGAATATGTGAGAAAATCACAGCACTTCCTGGTAGTTCTTTGTAAATAAGGTCATCTGACCTTCTAAGGGACACTAGGTACAACAGAGGCTGGGGACATGAATACTTCCCTTATACACTAAACAATAAATGTTTTCTAATTATCCTTCACCATCCAACTTAACAGAAACTAAATCAAATGGCATTGTCCTGACTTAAAAAAAAATATTGGACTCAAATTCTGGACCCATTGAAATGCATATGTGATATAAAATAGCTAAATAGATATTTATTTGTGGACTCATGCAGACTATCTCAGTCTCTTTGTTCAACATTAATGCGGTTTATCTGTAAAAGAAATGTTGGGGTGAAGGATCAAGTCAGGCTTCTCCATTTGCCACTGTGACTCAGTGTTCCTTTTCTATCTATTGATACAGTCAATATCATTCATTCTGCATGTTTCCTACTACTAAATTCGGATGAAAAAAAAACAATATTGCATTGTGTCTTCCTTATGAAAAAGAGCTGATTATTTTGGAGAATTTGACAAGAATAATTATCTTTTCTCTCCACCACTTTGAACAGAAATGAACGGCAACAAAATAAACTAGCATTGTAAATTTCAGAGCTGAAGCTGCATCTTTTGGTTGTGTCCTGTATTTTGCATTTTAATGCAACATTGATGATAACATTTGTCAAAGAAACCTCACAGTCCTTGAGAATCAGAAGCTTTGGCAACAGCATAATTGGTGCAACGTGGGAAAAATATTGTTTGAAATGTACTTATGGATGCAATTTGCTGTGCAGATTCTCTCCAAAGTGCACGAATTGTATCTTCATCTCTGCTAAAAGAACTTTCTTGCTTATCCTGAAGTCATCTCTTCATCAGAGTAAATGTCTTGCAGGAGATCCTGTCCTGAAACTAGATGGAGAAAATCACTTTAGCATTTCTCTGGTTTTAATGAAAGGATGTGAGGACCTTGAGTGCACTGATAGGACTTAGTGGCCCTGAGCAGCCTTGCCAGGGGTCACCATCCAGCTGCTCTACCCACGGGACCAAAACCGTGTTGCAGCTCAGGCTCTGGCTGTGCTGCGTGGTAGGACGGCCTGCCTCCATCTCGGTCACAGCTGTACTGTGATCCCAGTGAGCAGGACCCTGGCCTGGGCTGACCTCAGCTCTGCCGCACCACCGTGGACATCCCTCATGACCTGGCTCTTGGATGAACCTCACTGCTGTCCTCATGCCTGCCCTGCTCAAGGCTCTACCCACAGACTGCAATATTGTCCTTGGCTTCTTGTCCCTCAGGGAGCAGCTGGTCCTTGCTACTCCTTGACCGAGAGGAGGAGATTTTGATTAGCTTGTGGCCTGCTGGACATCAGAAGCAATACAGCAATGCTAGTTTAAATACGTCTGTATCACAGAATGTGAACTAGCCTTAGTCAGCTTCTTTCTTATTTGCACTTTTACCAAATTGGACTTACTTTCACATGAGAGTGCTCCCATCTGTCTGCAACGTGTGGCTAGCTGGGTTTGACCATGGCCAGTACCGCCACACGCGGCACTGCCTCTTGAGGCCCTGCTCTCTGCTGGTCTTACTGACTACTGAGGGCATCCCAAGACATCCACAGATCTGCCTTTGCTCAGCGGAACATCATGGTCGAGCACCTCTCTGTGCTGGCACCGCAGTTTCTCTAACCTTCCTTCTTCTACAGGTGCACTCCTGTGGCACTGACTGTTGTTTAGCACAGGTACGTTTTGTACCTGCCTGTTGCTGGGATCAGATTGACTGTACTTGCATGGGGTATCGAGGTGGATACTTCTCTGAATGTGTAGTTCTTTCATGACTTCTTCAAATGTGCACCCAAAAGTGACAGTCTCTTCCCTCTCTCTCTCTTCCTTCAGAAACCACTACCGCAGCTGTGCTGCTGCAGCAGGAGGCATGAGGAGAAAACCCTACTACACACTCGCCTTCAGTATCACGTTCCCTCATGAAGATGATGTCTGCTATCTGGCCTACCATTACCCCTACACCTACTCCACGATGATGGTAATGCTGATATATGCATCTAGATAAGCTAAGGGGCCTGGCAGATTGGAACTGCCATGAGTAGATTCTGAGATAGCATCAAGGCCTGTTCTCAAAGGCTGTTAATTCATTACTCTGATGCTTTCATTATTTTGTTTGCAACCACAACCCTCTGTCAACTATTGGAGCCCAGAGTGTGTCAGTAGAAAAGAAATTTCTGTATGCAATAAGCTAGGACACAAGACATTGGTGCTTATACTAGTCCTCAGATAAGGCAAAGCAAACATCTCCATTTCCTGAGCTGCAGGAAAGGGTGAGAGGCAGGAGGATAGTGCTAATGGCAAGTCAGAAGTGAAGGCCACTTACTTCTCTTCTTGTCAGTGCAAAGCAGCTCTGCTGACCCAGCTGCACCCCACAATACTGCAGTGCTCGCCCTCAGCTGGGTGGGATTTGTCTGTTGCTTTGCCCAGTTCCAGTTTGCTCAGTCTTCTTTTAAAAAAATTCCATTGGCATCCTTTCATTCTGGGCAATAAATGCATAGATGGACTGGTGAAATCTAAGTGTTTAACTTTTACCAGGTTGGTACCAGTTTGTTGTTATCAGATGTGAAAGAATATGCTATATTATTGTTATATAACAAATATAAACAAAATGCTCTCTCTCACTTACTAGCCATGCTGCTCTGTATATGGCCAGCATAGTTTGAGTTAGATTCATTCCCATGTGAGCAATAAACTCTTGTTAACCACTTTGCATCCCATTATGGATGTCCAAAGAAACTATTTTCAATATGTGAGATATGTCCAGTCAAGCCCTCACAGCCCACACTATGCCTGCCAGCTCACTTATCATTGGGTTTATGGGTATCAGTTCTGCTTTGGATCAATGCAGAAGAAAGAGGGAGAGTGCACTCCAACAGTACGATCTGACCTATAGTCTTGAAGGCACATATATACTGCAGTCATCGGGGGAAAAAAAAATGTGATACTGAAGAATGGTGGTGAATCAGTCCACTGAATACTTTATTACTGAGGTGCAGAGCCTCATCATTATTTTACTGTTATTGATTTCTACCTTCCACTGGCACAAAGACAAGAGAGATTTGGAAAGTTTGTATGCTCTGGGAATCTCTGAATATCTCACTTGCTGCTGAATGAATAGAATTGAAATGAAAAAGATGTTATTTTGAGATTTTCAGGGCCAAATCTTGAAGTATTTCATTGCCTCTTCAAATAAAGCGCTTGTTGAAGTTAAAGGGAATTTTGCCCAAGAAAAAGTGTAAATGAGCTCAAACTCAGTAAAAAAACCCCACAAAATTTAGTAAATAGGAATTAGGGATGTAAAAGATTGATAGATTGTCCTGTCCAGCAATTTGGCCAAAGCAAAACTGTTGCACAATGTTTGTCTCTAATATATTTAAAAAGCTATTTTGCTCCGAGTAATTTAAAATGTCTTGAGTGATGGGATTTACACAATTTTCTCGTTACTTTAATTTCCACAGTGAATAAGCTAAATCAAGTTTGTGTACCAGTAAGTTTCATTTTAAAGAATTTGTCCATTTTGAAGTGTGTAGATTCTGCATATCAGTATTAAATTAAAAGTGATTAGAAACCTAAGGGCTCAATTAGCAAATAGTGCTTTGGGGAAGAAGATAAACTTGTATATGGAGTTAGTAACTTGGAAGTGTTTTTAAATATCATATATATTTAATAGTTGCAGACATTTACAGCAAACACATTGAGGAGTACTGTTTGAGCTTGATGCACTCTGCAGTTCATTACTTCTTGTCCATTAGTAATTACATTTATTTTATGAACAGTAATCTGTTTATTTTTACATTAAAATGTTAATTGTTTGGACATGAAGCTGAAATCTCTATGGTAGCTACATCCAATTATGTTTCGCTGGTTAGCAGGAACATAAGTAATTGATTATATTGAGCCCTCTGTATTTGCACAAGATCATTAGATGGGTCTAATAATTGAATTCACTTTATAGATCAGTATGTTAATTGTTTTGTGGCACAGACACTATAAATTTCTGTCCCGTGTGTGCTTTCAAGTGAATACTGCAAAAGAAGGCTGAAAGAAAGGTAAACTCCAAGGTCTTGGAGTCTAAACTCCAAGAATGCCTGGTTGCTTAAGCACTGAGTGAAATTTAGTCTTGTAAATGCAAAAAACAACTGTGTGAGGATTGTTTGGTGAAATAAACTGGAGTGTTTCAGTCAAAGACCTGTTAGGACAAGTGTGCATAAGGTAATAAATCTATTTCTAGCAATCTGGAGGCAAGCAGTGCTCCCCGATGCTTAGCAGCAGCCTGCAGCGGGATTATGTGCGGTATCGTTGCCACTTGCAACTACAGCGTAAACGGGGAGAGCAGCAGGACCGCACGTCCTCTGCTGTGTGGGTGGCAAGTGCCTATGTGTCTAATGAGGCGATCACAACTAGTGCCAAAAAGACTTTTTTTTTATAGTTGCCAATTCTTTTTCTCAAATTCCTCAAGAAGCTTTTGGACTTAAGAATTATTTAAAATCAACTTTGGAAGAAAAAATCCGCTTTTTAAATAACTTCCTGGAAAGTTAGTTTACCACTAACTATACAAAATGTTGTTTTGATGTAAACTTTTTGGCTGTCTGTGGTGTAGAATTGTTCCTAAGTTTTGCTGGCATACGCTTTACAAAGAATCAGTAAGAATTCTGAAAAATGACTAGTTTCTCATGTTTTATTACACAGTCCTATAAAAATTAGAAGAGCAGGTAGTTTTCTTCTGGACTTCATGTATGCATAAAATTCTTTTATCCTAGTAAGGAACTATTCAGGTAAGTAATGTTTAAGTGATGGTCCTGGGCTGTTTCAGAGAATTGGGACATATTCTGAACAGCCTGATTTTTTTTTGTTTGTTTGTGTTTTTGCATATTTGCAGTATATAAAAGGACACAGTGGAATCTGTCAGAAGAGAGAAGGCTGGAAACCTGGCAGGAAATAATATTAGTACCAATGGTTTTCTTCTGGACTTCATGTATGCATATAATTCTTTACCTAAATAGTAAGGAACTATTCAGGTAAAGTAATGTTTAAGTGATGGTCCTGAGCTGTTTCAGAGAATTGGGACATACTCTGAACAGTCTGATTTTTTTGTTTGTTTGTTTGTTTGTTTTTTTGCGTATTTGCAGTATATAAAAGGATACAGTGGAAGCTGGCAGAAGAGAAGGCTGGAAACGTGGGAGGAAATAATATTAGTACCAATAATGATATTCAACCAGTGGAATAAAATGAGGTTTTATAGGCCATAAACTCACTTGTGAATCTATTTCCTTGCTTTTTTCTCAGTCCCATCTTGACATCCTGGAACAAAGCAGGAACCCCAGGAAGGTTTACTGGAGGCAGCAGACGCTCTGCCAGACGCTGGGAGGAAATCCATGCCCGTTGCTCACAATCACTGCCATGCCAGAGTCTAAAAAAAGAGATGACTTGGAGCAATTCCGTAAGTATCCAAGTGAAGCATAAGAACAAGTTGATGGCAACTTGCGGTCATGTCAGAAGTTTGCAGTGAACCTATTCTGTGGACAAATAGATTTTACTGCCTTCCTTATTTTCAAAGAGAAATCTGAAAATGGGGCATAGCTTGTTACAACTCTTTTTAAGTGACAGATTTACATGGGGAGTGTGGAGAGCTGAAGCCCTTTTTTTGCTTCAAGATTTTCTTTAACAATCTGAAACAATTACAAAGTTCAACACCAAATAACTCCAAAAGCAGGAAACTGTGCTCAAATAACTGGCTCAACAAGCAGGTTGAATTGTTTTGTTTTCATTCCAAATTGAAATGATCTATTTCTTTTGAAGTTTCAAACTTGCCAAAAAAGTGCAAGATCACTGTTTTCCCAGCTGTGGTGGTAATGTCCACCAGCCTGGCCAAATTCCAGTTCTTGTCATTCTATTAAGCCTCATCCAATTAGCATAATCATCCTGATCTTATATCTTTTTATTATAATAGTCAGTTTTCATTCAGGGAATTTTTACCCCATTTTTAGCACATTTCTGAGCATGAACATGGTATTCTAGGGTGAAATTCTAAACCAAGATCACCGAAAGTGCGAAGGACGGTCTACCGGGAAATTCTTGAAGTACTGGCGCAGAAATAGTTTTAATGTTAGAAACTGGAGGCAGTGTCAGACAGAGAAAACTGTATTGTTGGTGTTTTTATTAGTATTGTTTATATTATAGTAGCTCATACAGAACACGATTAAGGGTTTGATGGTGGTGGGTGCTGTCTGTGCCTGAAAAGGAGAGAGAATTCCTGCCATTAAGCACTTTAGATCCATGCTAACGATGACATAGAATGGAAAATCAAAGCACTAGTGACTGGGAACTGTGGTGAGGATGGGTAGTTATATAAAATGCCTGTGGCACACTCCAGACGATCTCCTGGTTAGATGCCAGCTTTCAGCAACAGGTTTTTAAACCTCGTGACAGAGGTGGATCCTAACAGGGCAGCTGAAATACAGCAGAGGCAAGCTGGACTGTTATATTCTGGTGCTGGAGCCATCTAAAAGAGACATGAAGTCAACAAGTTTTTCTGCCCAAATGAATGCTTTTTTCCAATGAGACTACAAACTGAAAGCTAAGATAATGACTGTATTTATTAGAGCAAGGTCTTGCAATGTGGTGATTGTGCTAACCACTGGATTAAGTACCTTTGTTGGTTTTGATGGAACTTTCTGAAAGGCCTCCCTTTTTGACAAGGAAAGCAAAAGCTGATTTTGAAGTCTTCAGCATTTTTTTGCAAAGCAGCTGCCTTTGCTTTCTGACTGATGCTACAGCATGATTTGGAACTTGTAAAGGAAATTATTGAGGCACTGAAGCACCATACAACTGTAATAAACCAGGTCTGCAGACATGCAGACCCAGTTATCAGAATAAAAATTCTGCAAGAAAATACAGCCTCTGCCAATGGAACTAAAACTGGAAGAATTAAGATATTTTGACCTTTGGCATAAGCCACAAGAGGAAAACATAATCACATAGGCTAATAACGGGCTAGACTGTACATCATATGAGGCCTTGGACGTAACCCTGGACTAAGTCTTTCCTGGGCTGAGCGTTATGCAGCAGGGAAGAGTTGGATGGTGTCTGTGCTTGCAGGACTTGCACTGTATACTTAAGTGAGAGAGAGAGAGAGAGAGAGAGAGAGAGACATATGGAAATGAGGAGGATGAGGAAATGACAATACAGCACTGACCTGCACAGTAGCCTGAGAGTCCTGCTGCTCTTAGGTAGCACGAGGATGTAGATGTGACAGAGTTAGGAGGCATTCAGTACAGATTTGCTGAAAGAACTGTTTGGACAGATTCTTGTTCTAAGTGATTCAGAGTGTTATAATATTCATCATCTGGGCTCAAATCGCAGCTATATGGCCCAAAGTTCTTCTTATTTTTGAGAGACATCCCTCCTGATTTACGATTTTACATAAATTCAGTAGGACCCCACAGTTCTGCCTGAATTTCCATGAAGCCATGGGCAGCTAAGCAGCCTTTTTCTGAAGCTTTGCGATGCAATAAGATTAAGGGCTTTCTAGATCTATCCATGAACCAGTTGAATGCATGCAAAACCCAGCTGCCTGAACTGAAATAGAAATTGTTTGGGGGAAACTGTGCCAACGCAAGGAAACAGAGCCCCGCTCAAGTTTCCCAGACTCTGTGAATGTAAACCCCAGACTCTCAGGTGATGCAGAATATTGTCTTGTTTTATTGAGTGAAAGAGCAGCAATTCAGCACACACCATGTTTTGTGCTGAGGGGATGGCTCGAGGCAAATCTGAATAATCACGTATGCGCTTGTTTTGTTTAAGCAGTTTAGATAATTACAGCTTTGGGGGATGCACTCAGCCTAATTTGTGCTGCTTTGTTTAGCTTTGATCAGCAGTTACTTCTCAGTTCCCTCATCATCTGTGACGTGCCCTTTTTTGTGGTTTGGCTGATGGAGGGACTTGTTTGTCAACATCTTCCAGGCTAAAAAGCATAACTCAGAAAAGAAAATGTTTAAAGAGCTAAATATGAGGGATCCAAAGGGTGGAGATTTTCCAGGTAATAACTCCTGTTACTTTGTACAGTCTCAGTGTATGGATATTTCAGCTTGAGAAGTGGAGCTGCAGCATTGGAGGACATGGGTAATGAATAAAAGTTGACAACCTTTGTTCTTTCAGTCTACTCCCACAGCTCTGGGCTAGCCACAACTCCTGTGGACTGTGGTCATTTTGCTTTCCTGTCAAATTTATTTCTTCTTTGTACATTCATTAATCTGCACCCTGAGAAATTCTTCAGTAGCACAAAGCACACAGATGAAATACCTTCTGCAAGGCTGAGGAGCTGTTACACATGATCATACTTAACTGTTCTGAATTGTGCTCCTCCTTCTCCACTCCAGATACCTGGGGAGTGGGAAATAGAGATACCACTGAGGAAGAGGTACTGGGTGAGGAGCATTAGGAGGAGAGCAGGATCAGCCCGGAAGGAGTCACCATGGACGAGCTGATAGAGTGGGAGGGCCTATGGAAAATGAGGCCATGACATCCCCTGTGTCAGCTGTGCTTTATTTTTCCCCTCTCAACTCTTTCAGATTGCTCTTGTCAGGCTTTTGATTAATGTGGCCCAAGGATGGTTAGATTTGTCTGAGTTAAATTTATTAATGTGAGCCATGTTAATAGGAAGCACAAGCCATGCACGCTTCTTGAAACTGCACACTCACTGCATACTGAAGGAAAGAAAAATGGGCTGCTGTATTTCTTCATTATGTCTAGTTTATGTGAGACTTCAGTATTCACTTAGGCTTCATTCTCCTCCCTCCTTCTCTAGCTGCCCTGCATATGATGGTGGTATACTGACTTATTTTTATTAAATGCTCAATTCTGAAACTGATATGAGGAAGGAAAGAAATGAGCCAGGAACTCTTTAGCTTCCTGTGTTTGTATCTCTGTCACACAACATCTCCTTTACAAATACCAAAATATTTTCCATTCAAACTTGATGAGCATCTCTGAAGGCCTGGGGACTGAAATAGAAAGTCAGAGGCTGGAGAGTGGCTCCTGTTGGAGCTCCACAGGTTTGCATAAATAGAAAATTGGAGTCTGTATCCCAGGAGTTACCTTCATTTGTGGTTAGTTTTGTCCTTCCTGCCTTCATATGAAGATGAGTGTCCTGCAAAGAGGGGTGTCTTTTCTTCTCATTCCAACTGTAATATTCCCTGTTGTCTTGTGATAAAGACAAAGCCATTAGTCTCCCCCTCTATCTGTGATATTGGAAACACCAATGACAAGAGGAAGAGACTGTTTTTTGTCTTTTCTTATCTGTCTTCTCCACATTCAGCTTTCCCTCCCTCTTCTTCTCAAACAGTTTCATCCTGCAGATTTGACCTTCCAAATTATGCAGAGCTTTTCCTCAGAGGACCGTAGCTCTTAGAAGTGTATTAAAAAAAGGCAGGTTTCCGCAAGCTCCCTTGAGTGCACTGAGCTTCCACACTGCACCTGCATTGGATATTGAGTCACCACTTGTGAGCCGTGGATAGTGAAAAAAAAAAGCTGGAGACTGAAAGGAAAGAGGGGTTGGAAAGGCATTTACTCTTTGGTGACTTTGCTCCCGGCTATGTTAGCTCTAGCCTTAGACATTGTTGCCTGATGAAAGTTAAAGGGACTTTTCAAGCTAGAGCATTTGCCTGCATCTTTCAGAGTCATCATCATTCTCACTGCTTCTGCATTCACTTGAGAAATTTTCAAATCTTGGTGCCAAATCCCTGATCGTCTTGGGGAAGTTAAAAGGAGCTTGCTGAGCAATGATTTTCTTGAGTTTGCCCCATGTAGTCAACTCAGTGAAGGCAGTGCTAGCAGAAGCACAGCATGCACCTATGTTTAGTAATAGTTTGCAAACCCTTAATTCACAGTTTTATACGTACAAATGTGTAGTATGTGACTCTGCTGTATTAAAACTCCCTGACAGACAGACAGCTTACCACTGCAGTTAATCCACATTCATTAGGAAGATCTGTATTATTCCTGGTTGTTGAATTTATGCTCCTCTTTTTAACAAATATGGACAATGGCAAATTTGGAGCTCGTGACTAATCTCATCATGGTTTCCTACATCTCAGGGTCTTATGCAAGTGCTCTTTCTTATTAATGAGATGTGGATAGCCCTAGCATATAATAAAAGAGTGTGCTCGTCATAGCTGAAACTGTCTTTGACAGTGCAGGAGTCTGTCAGAATTCAGTCTTGTAGACTGAGTTTGCCAGCTTGGCAGGTGGAACAACCCTGTGTTTTCTAGGCAAATTAAATAAACTTGATCCATAGTCTCCCAAGAGACAACGAACATGGCAATGCTCAATGACCCTTACTAGACAAGAGTTGCACTTTAATAAATGATTTTCTGTAGCAGGAACAGCGGATCTATGCCTGCAGTGTTGTAGAACTGGGGCACTGAAATATATAAAACATGA